GTACAATGAGTTTGTTAATGCCCAGGCCATCGTTCTTGGTGGTGAGGAGGGGGAAGACCAGGGAATTGGTTGAAGTAGAACTGTAATGCGTTTCTAAAGAAAACAAACTTACTTTCTTTAATATAGTGAGCTGAAAAATCTCAGTTAGGGAGCTGTTGCTTCATAGCACGTATGATACATGGGGTGGAAAACAAGCTTCTCTTCTTGGAATACCAAGTGGCACCAACTTGGAGTTTGGAAGTGTGATTACTGTCCCTCTTAGCCTGCTTCTTGCTTCGGTAGATCAGCCTGGCCCATCTCTTGTGTTCTTAATCCACTGTGAAAGTGGAGGTGGCATGCTAGGTAAGATGTACCTTTGATTTTGATCCCATGTGGCAATTAAGGTACTCTGTTGGGTGATTATTCTTTCCTCTTTACCAGCTGTCAGTTTCTTCTTCTTCTTGTCACTCTGTATTGGCTGGTCAGTACACATTTTTTTTTTCCTTCCCTGTGGGAATTTTTCCATGTTCCTCTCTGTGCCCCGTCGTAGCCTCTCATAAATATTATTTGCTCTTTTGTGGAATCTCTTCCTCCTTTTCTCATCTTGATTATTTATCAAATTTTTATGATTTTCTCTTTTTCTGCTATCATCTCTGTGTTGCGGAAGACCTTCTTGGGCTTATGCTCAGGTTTGGACTTGCTGGTATAGTTACATCTATCAGTGGTATAAAGAGAAGTGCTCCTGACTGCCGGTTGGTTTTTTTTGTTCTTAAACTGGCAGAATGTTGCTGATAAAAGCTCTACCTATGTAAAGAGTGTGATTTAGTGTAGTTTATATGCAAGAATATATTTGTACTTATTTATACTGACATCGTAAATGCAGGTGGACCTCAGGATGGTTTGGATGGGGCAGGAATATAATAATATATCACAATATAATCACTACCTCTGCTGGAGTAACAAATCTTTGTTTCATGGTCGAAACTTTCAAACATGTAAATGTTTAATTTTTTCAGTGCATTTTGGGAATATAGGGAAGAAATACTGTTAGTGTTTTAAATCTTGGATTTCTTTTGAAGGCGGGGGCGTCTGTGGAAGACAGGCAAGGGAAAATGTGGAATGTAAAGCTGTATTTTACAGAGCCCAAGTTTGCCATTCCTGGGAAGGGATTTGTGAACTGACACATGAGGAAACAAACCCTGCTTCTGGGAGGAGAGCTGAGAACAAATACTCTGGGAAATCTGCAGTGCTGTAACTAAGGAGTGAAGTTATACGCATAAGGAACATCCACTTAATGGATTTGCAATTAGTGGCACTGAAAATGATGCGAGATGGAACAATGGTTATGGCTGATAGAGGCGCAGCCTGAATTACGTGAGGGTGATAAATGGATAACTTTTCTGGTCTCCCAAGTATCATATTTTCATCCTCTTAAAAAAAAAAAAAAAATTAGCCTTTGAACTTTCTGGTGTGTGTGATGCGTGTGTGCTTTTGCTGTTGTTGGTTTTGGTGTTTTTAGACTTATCCCAGCTTGAGTAAAAAGAGAGATTCTTGATTAGGCAAAGAAGTGATTTGCTCTAGCTGGTGTCAAAGCATTTGATAAAGGACAAATATTCCAAATAGTCTGCAGTTCAGTTTTTTGTTTCATTGATACCTTGTGTGCTCCCTGAGTGCAGCGAGTAGGGATTTTAATTAAAGTTTTGGAACAGCGGAGCCCAGAGTTTGAATATGTAGCCTTGCAATCCTGTCCCTCCTTCCAAAAGAAGGTTCTTCAAATATGACTCTGCTGACGTCGCATGTTTTTCAGGCCTTTGTTCTCTACCTGAATTACGTTGTTCAAAATGGTGGATGACTTCCCTCCTCGAGGGAAGTAATTGTGAAACAACTTCACGTGTGGCTGAGGAGGTTTTTTCCAGTGTAAGATACTCATTTTACCCGAATGACTCAAGGAGTTGTACTTCAGATATTGAATCTGAATAGTATAAACTCCAACTTCAGTTTTACAGGAATATAGACTTTGCAGGCAGTCTTTAGTCTGTGGTGGTGAACTTAATATAATACAGAGGCTTCAAATTCCTTTCCGAAACCGAAATAAACATTGTATGTAAATATTAGCTGGGAGTGGGTTGGAGAGGAGTCTGGAGAAACAAGGTGTGGAGTATTGTGGAAAGCAGACTAAGGAGAGTTAGAGGCTCAGTGCTGGTCGAGAAATTGGGAGGCAGAGGTATATTGCAGTAGAAAGAGAAAAAGGTCTTCAGAGTCTGTATTTTTCTGTTATACTTCATGCTGGGCATCCAGCCATCTCAAGCTAGGATTTGGTGATCCTGATCAGAACATAAGTTTGATACCTTGAAGGCTATGGAATAACATATGATTGTGCTTGACAGCCATGCAATGTTGCGGAGGAAGGGTGACTGGCCATAGTCATTTGAAGATAGATCTGGAGTGGAGCTTTGGTGCATGGCTTGTGGGTTTAAGGGAAGCTTGGGACTTAGCTTGAGTATATATATGACTTTGGCTACATAAAGAAAATGGTCTTTGATTTGGTGCAGCTTTGCCAAAATACACCCAACTAGTTCTTTCCTTCATTGTCATGTTTTTTTAATGCAGGTATATTGAACAAACAGATGCAAATGACTTTGTACTCATGATTTTAAAAGCTTGTGCTAGCTCCAAAGCAGCAGATGTAGGGTTATTTTGTCATGTACTTCAACTCTTTGCTACATTGCTTTCAGCACTACTCAGGATTCTCAAGTGGTGCATAACTTCTGTATTACTGATGCTTTCTACTGAAACCTTCTGGTACTGTACTACTGAAAGGACAGAACTGAAATCAGTGGCTTGCTTAACATCGTACAGTCACGGAGTTGAGCTGCTGTGTTGTTCTGAAGAAGCAGGAGTAACTTCAAAATGCTTATACCTATTTTATATGTAAGAGTGCATACGTGTTAGAAACCCATGTGGAAAGAGGAATGTGCACCAGTGTTGACTGCCTGACTACTTGACTCTTGTGGTTACGCATCCTCCTTGAGGCAGGTGAATACACAACACACCCCAGGGATTTGGTGAGATGAGGTTGGGGTAGGTGGTCGAGACAAAGCTTGTCATCGGATTGTTAGTGTACTGTTACACGTTTGGTAAAGATCAGAGACATTCGTTTGGACCAGGAGCTGAAGAGAACATTCTGTGTTAATCGTGGCAGTATTAGTAAGGTGTAAGCGTAAGCAGCCAATGTTTCAACAGATCTAAGGACTGACCTCAAACACTTTTACCAAGGTGCTCAAACTCTGGGAGCTTTCTGGTGTTTCTCATGAGGACAAAAACTAGAGTATGTCTGCAGTTGGTTCCCGGATGATTGAAAATTACCTTTGTTATCTGTAGGCATGAATGGGAATAAATGTGATAGTTTGGGATGCCTGGAATCAAGATCTGTATCTGTACTACTTTTTCCTCATCAGGAGAGTGCCGTTTTCCTTTTGCAAGAGAAGACTAGCAATACTAGCAGTAAAACTGACCTTGGCATGCTGGCAGGAAACATACCTTCATCTTCAGAGTTCCAAATTTGCCCTCCTTTCTAGATATCCTAAGGATCTGCCAGCTCTCACTGCTTTATTTGGATGATAATGTTTAAAAAAAAAAAAGCACATACAGATTTCAAATCTACCTGATTCCACTGAAGCATCAATCAAACCTAGAAAAGAAAACAAGTTTACTCTAGCAGAGTAAAAATGTGGTTATTTATTGCAAAATTAGAAAGTTATAGAAAGGTGAAGCCAACAAAACATGCTCTCAGTAGATACGTGTATGTGACACGGAGTTCTTTCATAAGTGTGGTTTGAGGTCTCGGAGTTGTGTTGCAGTTGAAGAAGCTGATGGAATGACTCAACAGCATTTCAGTCTTTGAATAATGTGTTTCAGAACAGAAGTCTAAAATTAGTGAGGAATGAGTTAAAGCCCTTAGTCTTACAGGCTGCTCAGGGCAACTGCTTTTCTGAGACTGCTCTTGTTCCTTTTGTAATAGTGGATCGCAATTATTTTTTTTTCTTCCCCTCCTTCTGTCTCATGACCTTCAAGGCCATCGTGATTAGTTGCATGTATTTTTAATGGCAGGTTCATCACCAAGCTTTCAAAACTGTTAAAATGCTTTTAATGGACATTTATTTAAAAATGTATGGCATGCTTGTGTTAGTTCTAAAGCTAGAAGGTGTCACAGTGTCTAGCAGCCATTGCACAAAAGTATCCTGACTTCCATTTCAAGGAAATAACTGGCTGATAGTTGGACATGCTAGTGACAAAACAGAGAAAGGCATTACTGATTGTTGTGGGGTTTTTAAATACTTCTTTGTTTGAAATTACGCAGAGAACTAGATAGCAGGATTAAACTGACTCAAGATTTTGGGGCTGAGGAGGAAACCTTTATTGATTGAAAAATCCAGGCTGCCTCTAATCTTGAAACTTTCTTTTCTTCTCCAAGCCTGAATGAAACCACATAAATCTTTCCAGCATTCCTGTACCATTCACTAGCCATCGTTAGGCACCCCTCCTGTTATTTGTAACTCTTATAGTTGATTAAGGACGTAGGACCTAATCTCCTGATTTAGGTATGTGGATAACAGTTCTCACCAATGGGAGATAAATTTCTACCTTCGTACGTTCTTTTCTTGTTAACTCCCTGTGGGGTTGTGCGGGGTCAGAAAGAAAGGAGTGTTTCACACACTCTCTTCCCTGAGATTCATGAGTGTCTCTGGTAATGCTTTTGCGCTGGTTCAGAGAGAACAATATTAAGTAACAAATTCTTGGTATGCTTGGACTTGCGGTATCATGTGGATTGGCATGTTGTTGGTGAGTAGAACTAATTAGCGGAGCCTAGTTGCTTGTGGATTTGTCCTGTTGGTCTTCAGCTTCGCTGCTTTGTGTCTCCTAACACACCCACCAGGCAAGGCAGCGCCTGCTGGGAGCTGGGTGGGTGCTGAGAACAATATTAAGTAACCAATTCTTGGTATGCTTGGACTTGCGGTATCATGTGGATTGGCATGTTGTTGGTGAGTAGAACTAATTAGCGGAGCCTAGTTGCTTGTGGATTTGTCCTGTTGGTCTTCAGCTTCGCTGCTTTGTGTCTCCTAACACACCCACCAGGCAAGGCAGCGCCTGCTGGGAGCTGGGTGGGTGCTGCTGGTGAGCTGAGTGGGGTGCCTGAGGGGAGGCGCGAGTGGGGCCTTTCCCCAGTAGCATCTTTCTCTTTGTCTCTCTGCACCATCCTCAAAACTTCCAGAAACGTTGCCCTGTGTGGTAAATCTGTTCTCTTGCTGGGCCTGGATCTGGCAGACGGGTATAACGGTTCTTACAGTAGGTGACCAGAAGTGGGATGGTTGCGTAAGGTGAAGCTGAAAAAGAGTAACTGGCATTGAGATAGGAGGGTTATTCAACTAATAACTGGAACCCTTAGTGTTTCATCCACAGCAGACTGTCTGCACCTTACGGAGGGAGGAGCTGCTATGTACAGAAGTGAAACATCTGCAAATTCCCCTTGGCATATGGTAGCAGAGTGGCCAGGTTGACAAGGTGTCACAGCCAGAACTGCCTCAACTAAAGGAGTTTGTTTTAAATATTTCAGGCAAATAACTCTTTGTCTTAGTAGGCAGAGAGGTGGGTGAGTCCGGAATGCTGCTTTGAGTTTTGAAAATCCCCACTTGATGTAATGTTATGAATTAGGCAACCATTTCTTTTGACATAGCTTCTCAGTAGTGAATCTAACACAGCCGGGAGGGGAAAAAGGCTTTAAGTCCTCAGTGGGAGGTCTTGCTGCAGGTAGGCAATCTTGTGAATCTAAAAAGCTAGCTGTGACATTACAGCTTTAGCTTTCCAGCTAGGAAAACCCCTCTCTTCTTTCTTCTTCCTCTACTTTCTCTCTGAATCAAGCTTAGTTTCATTTTTTCTCAGAGGTAGAGTGCAAAGTAAGTAATAAAGCCATGACTTACCAAGGGTGTAAAGCAGTGTTGGTACGCACAAAGTAAGAACTATTCAAATAAAAATAGCATAGACCAGTGAAAAGGTGACATTTTTAACAAGTACATTTGTTTGTAGTTTATTTTGTAATACATAGGTTAGATGTTTCTGAGACAATACTGGAGATGCTTCCAGGCAAAATGGAGTAAAACTCCAGTCACAGAGGATTTTTGGTTTCTGCTAGTTGGTCTTGACAGTGTCTTACCGGTTTTGGTGGCAGTATGGTGCTTAAAGCGTTTTTTTTAATTAGGTGCTTTTTCTTGTGGATTGAGTGCTTTTGAGTTCTAATACAATAGAAAAATCCTTTGGTTCCATGCTCCCAAAAGAGTCCTAAAGTATTTCTTGACAAGTACTTGCTGTGAAGTCTCATTACATTTTGAATATTTAGTACTGAAGAATCTTTAAGTATTACAATGTTTAATGTATTTTAATATTAAATATCTGAATCTTTTTTCTCTTTTTGTTCACATATCCAGTGTAATTGTGCTATGGATTCAGATTGAAACTTAATTGAATGCGTCTCTCTTCATGGTATTCACATACTGTCTCCAGCTGCAGCTAAAATTCCCACACTGACAAATAAAAGACCAGCTGTTCCTGAGTTGCATGTTAGAATTTCAGCAACTTCAAGATGAGATGCGTATAACTTGCCTGGGTTTTTTCGCATGGCATCCACATCCCACCTCACTGTGTGGAATGAGGAGTATAGGACCTTGAACAGTAACGATGCATCTGTTGAAGTTTATCTTGTGTTTGAGAGTTTCATAAAGTAAATAAAGGGTTCTTTACTAGTAAACTTTATATCAAGTCTGCTATGCCTGAAAAAAAACTCAGAGGTTTTCCTATAACTTTGCTCACTGATCTTAACTGAAGAGGCCCGAATTACCATCAAGCCAGAATGCCTAAATTTTTACTGTGATGACTGACTTTTTTTTTTCCTTTTTCCCCCTCCAACAGGAACAGGAAATACAGTGGTGATAATGGTTGGCTATCCAAAAGGAATAGAGATATTGGAGCCAGTACGTAGAGGGATTCCAGTAAAAATGACTATTGTTGTTGGCACGCGACACGTGCAGGAATATATTAGTGGTCAGTCGGTTGTGTTTGTAGCCATTGCCTTCATCACCATGATGATTATATCGCTCGCTTGGCTCATATTTTACTACATACAACGTTTCCTGTATACAGGATCACAGTTTGGAAACCAGGTAATTGGAGATGATAATGCTTTAGAGTATTTACCATCTTCTCATGTCAAATCAGTTGCCTAACTTTGCTTGTTTATTGAAGCATTCTTGAAGATCTGTGCCTTCTTGCTACTTGACTATCTATGAACACTACTCAGTAATAGTTAGTGAGGCTAATAAGCAGTGTGCTAATTGGCATCACAAGTTTGGCTAGTTGTAATTATTAGGTACCCATATGAAGTTGTAGGAAATATATTTAGCCACTTGTCAACAACTGAGTAAAGGCAGCTTCTTGTGTGATTTGTCACCTAACTTCCTTTTGACATTAAAAATTTTCATTCTTCAGTAATTTTCGTTCTGAAAGTACTGATTTCCCTAACTAGATTTTTTTTCTAATGGAGATGGACTATGGTAATTTTTTCTTCTTAAGACCCACAAGTAATTAGGGCTGAAAATTTTGGTTCTAAAGCTTTATGAAAACTCTTTTCGATACTTGTAATCCTACTAGTCCACTGTGGAGTACCGAATGGCAGCAGACTAGAAGGAGCATGTGTGGTGAGGTTCAGCTCTTTTGGACTATCTGAAGCGCTGAGAGTGGTGGGAGTACTGGGAAGATCAGGAAGGAATAACTTTGCTCCTTAATTTGCCCCTTCCAAATCCCTGTTCTTCTTTGATAGGTTAAAAAAACCGTCAGCTTTACTTGTTTTCCCCTGAGGGAAGTACTTCATCATAGAATAATTTAGGTTGGAAGGGACCTCTGGAGTCTGTCTGGTTCAAAGCCCTGCATTCAAGAGAGCAACTTTCATGGGGTTGTTGAGGGCCTAGTCTAGCTGAGTTTTTTAAAATGTCTTAGGATCGCACTTCCCTGTGCTTTTCAACTCTTGCAAGTAGGTTAGGTTCCTTCCGTGGTCATCAGCAGCTCTACCACAGTTCCCTACTAACAGTGAAAAAGAAAGTTGCACTTGTTTTTCTTTGCAAGCAGTTCTCTGTTTTTTTTTTTTTATCCTCAGTTCAGAACAACAACAAAACTGTTTCAAATGACTGCTTATCATGTGGACTTCCCCTGCCTTCTGTTTGAACATGTAGATTCTAGCTTTGGGGGAGGAGGGTAAGGAATTTTTGTTTGCCTTCAGGAGTCTGAGCTCTGATTAGGACTTACAGGACTCTTCTAAGAAAACACTTCATTTCTCTTTTCAGTAACTGAGGGTAACACATGGGACTTCTGTATTGGTTAAACTTGTGGTCTGCTTGAAGTGTTGCTTCCCTAGAGTCTTTTTTACTAAGCTTTAAGTCTAAGAACTTACATTCTGAGAATACTTTCAAGAAAACAAAATTTTTGAGAAGTATTTATAGAAGAAGGGGTGTGTTTGTGTTGTAACAGTTGTTTGATGAAGAAAGTTGCTTCTTCCTGTTACGTTGGCTTTAGGGTAGTTCATGCTAAGGGAAGTTCAAATGCTTTATTAGTAGTTTTAAGCGTGTTTTTTAGGTTTAATGTGATGTTTTCCAGAAATATGTACCACAAACTCTTAATAGATTTTTGCCATTGGGCTTGCCATCTAAATGCTTCTTAAATGAAATTGTGTAGCATTAGAAGGTTATGCCACTTTCCTCAATTTTCCTTCTTTTAAAATGGCCATTGAAAACAAATTTATAAAACTATGCAAAGTTTGAAAATGTTGTGAATATCTTGGTCAAGATATAGCATTAGAAGTCTTAAAAGAATTTTGGAAACAAAAAGCCACTTTTCTACCCCAAATGTTACTTTGCTTGGCTTATTGACTCCAGTATAATTAAAACTTGGGAGTTAAGTATGCCATGCTTTAAAGCAAGTTACTGTGTAGCTCCTAAGTGAAGGTGAAGACAGGTATCTTAAGATTTTTTCTAACATCAGTTTAGCAGTAAATCTTTGGAAGACCTCCTTGCTACTGAAGATGAAATAGGACTGTGCAGAAAACCCTGAGCTGATCCAGAAGGTGGAATAGATGACTACTGCCGCTGCTTGTCTGTCCATTTCTGAGAGAACTTTCAGACTAATTCTTTTTAACACCATAAAAAAATAAAAAAAATCCCAATTTTCAGTACTATAAATTTGTAAAATTATATAGGTCATTGTAATTATCATTACAGAGAAAAGCTGCCATTACCTTTTTTTATTCCTTTATGGTATTTCATCAGTGAGGGTTGCTGCTAGACAGATCAACATCTGTTAATTGGGAGTGTTTAGTTTCTCAATTTCTAGCAGTAGCTAGCACTTTGTCTTGGAATACAGTACTGCTTTCTTTTCTTGCTTCCCCTCTAAGCACAATTAGGACTGTTACTGTATAGAAGTCCAGTATGGTGTCTCATGTCTGTTAAGCCTTTCCTGTCATCTCCTTTGCATAATGTGTCCTTTCAGTGCAAAGCTTTGTATAATGTGTGAGACAGTGTTTAACTGAGGGGAGGCATTAATAGCTACAAGCAGCCTTTTGACCTGGTGGCCAGCTGTAGGCTGCCCGGCAGGATTCCACCTTCTCTCAAGCTTGTGCAAAACCTACGGTGTGCTTGCTCGTGGGCTTGCCTAACTAGAAGGTCTGGTTATACGGCTGTTGTTTCAGCTCTGATGCCTCTAAAGCCTAAATTGGTGTCAATTTTCCTGTGCGGGAAGGCCCTTAATGCAGGCAGTCACGATGCGAGGTTATGTGTGTCAACTTGGTCCACGTAGTTCTGCACTGGTTGAGTTCATTGTAAGAGCACTGTGCTTATAGATAATGTTTGCTGCTGTGCCCTGAGAATGCAAAACTTGCAGGTTCTTCAACATCTGCTGGCTGGAAGCATTTTGTAAACAAATTAGCTAGCCAGAGATGTATTTTTAAATGCATTCAGAAGACTTAGTAATCCACATGGAAAGTATTTAAAAGCTTTGAAATGTAACTCTTAAAACTAACTTGTACTAATATTTAAAATCTTTATTCAAGGGACATAGGAAAGAAACCAAGAAAGCAATCAGCCAGCTTCAGCTGCATACTGTGAAACGTGGAGAAAAGGTAATTCAGTGGCTCTGGTTATTGCTGTATGATTTAAAGACTGTTGTAATGTCTTATAGAATTTAAACTAAAATTCTCACAATGTAATTGCAGTGTGACTCTTACAATTTTAGGCTCATTTTAGCACCTTTGCTTAGAAGGCCACGCTTAAAATTGAAGAGTCAAATTTGAACTACTTATGAAATGTAAGGCTGTTTTGTTGCAAATAATATCTGGTTATACAGAATGTTGCAGGATGCTACAGGGCTGGTACTGTAAAGATGAGAAAACACTAATACCAACACTTGAAAACATCAACAAGTGGATTGCACAATACTTCCTAGGACCTATTGATTGCACAGTTCTTACAGCTTATGTAATGTTTTTGCTTTCTTAAAAGAACATCCATCTTTTTATTGATCAGAAGGCCTTAGAAATCTAAAAAGCTTTGGAAAATGAAACACTTGTTTCATCTCTTGACATATAATACATTAAGGAGCTGTATAGACTTACTTGAAGCATGAAGTTTTTAGAAGTACATTTCTATTTATTAAAATTATTCTAAAAATTAAAACAGCTTTCAAAAAGTTAGCTTTGACAGCATATGGCCTAAACTCATGGCTGTATTACAATAACTGAAGTAGAAAAAGGTTTTGAAAGAAGATATTATTTTAGTCGGAGTTTCAGGCAGTTCTGATTCTAGATGCTAAATTAGTTTGACTAGACTTCTCCTACTACATAGGCATTTTTTCCCACCCTTACTTGATTAGTTTTTACTTAAGGACTGTTTTGCTCAGAGATGAAAAACAAGGATTAGTTTTTTAATCCATGAATAAAATGAAGGTGAGAAAGGACACTTATGTGTAAGAACTTTAAAAGCTGTGGTTCGACAGAAGCTGTTCGGCTCAGGTCACATGCTACAGAGGATATGTCCTTCATCTAGTAAATCGGTTTTGAAACGAAAAAACCCAACTGTCTTTGAACTTGCCTCTTTTCCTGTTATGCATTCAGCATGTTTAAGTAGCATTTTACAAGTATTTGTTACTTTTATATTCTAAATTCCACCAAAAAGTAATCTATTTCAAGCTGTGAACAGAGGTATGTTCATACTTCTGTTCATACAATGGTGAGATCAGAGATCAAGATGGAATTGAACCAAAACTTGTGTAAAGCAGTATCAAAGCATGACATCAACACAGGAAGAAATGGATGTAAAAGGGTCATGATGAAACCTATGGTGAGAACCACAAGGAAGCTGTTAACTGCTTTTAAGTTGATGTTCAGTAAACCTCTAAAAAGGATTTGTATTTTGAGATTTTTGCAGTGTAGCAGGTAGTTCCTTCTCATCAATATACCCTTGACTAAAATAAATAAATAAAATGGGGGAATTTAACTAAGTTGTTATGTAGTATGCTGGTTGTAACTATGAATGCCATGTTAGTTAAGCAAAGTAGAATGAGATTAGATTAAAATCTCTCTATTAAAGTAGAGGTTTTCTGCTTGGTAAATCATGTCTTCTAATTTTATTTGAATCAGCCTACTATCAGCAAATTTATGTAACAATGATGCAGAGGTACTTTCATGAACTTATGTAAATTTATCTGGAAATACAGTCCCATCTACTCTGTAAATGTGCATTTTTTCTTTAAATATTTCCTTTCAGCCATTATGATTAAAAGAGTATATTTCTTTTATTGTGACACAGTACAGTCTTTCATTATCACTTCACATGGGGTTGAGGTATTTAACTAAAAATAGGTCAATATTTTAAAAGTGTATTTGCTATCACGTAGATCTTTCCTGAGAAGCTTATGGGATTATTGTAAAATGGGCGCTCATTTGAGTATGAGCTACATATGGTATGCTTGGACTTTGCCTCTTGTACAGAATAAATATTTGTTATAGAATAAATACTTGTCTTCACTTATGTAAAAAAAAAAAATTACATGTCTTAATTTGATTTACTTGGGAATTTAAGGCATTAATTATGTAAATCGATAGCATGCAAAGGAGGGAAAAACTTGCCTTGGACTTAAAAGTTTGCTTGCAGTACTAATTCATTTGAGTGTTTGTGGTAATGAAATTGAAGTGCTTCAGTAAGCAGTAAACACAAAATACTTATTTTGTGGGGGATGAAAGGGAAGAAGTTGGCCCACTGTTTGTTCTTCTAATACTTACGTTTTATACAACCCAATTAACATTGAATTATTTCTCTTGTATCTGGAGTTATCCATCATACTTGCACTGCAGCTATAAGCATGGCTTCAAGAAGGCAGTAAGACCTGTTAGGATAGGTATTTAACCCATAGAAAGAAACAAATTGAAGTGGGGAAATACTGCGTTTTGACTGTCTCTCTGGTGTGAGCTTGGAGAGAAGTTTCATAAACCATCCCAAATTGCATACTTCAGTTCTTTTCTAGCTACCAGGGAATATCTGCTAGGATGTGGTAGAAAAAAGAAAAAAGTGGAGGAGGGGTTTGCAGTATTCAACCCCAAGAATCTTGTCCTGCTTAAGCACTTGCAAGTCTTTGGGACCATCAGTTAAGAATTAGATTGTGCGCTTTCATCTAGGCTGACCTCTTTTAAAATTTCTTTGTTTTACAGTTACTTTAAACTGAAATTTTACTGTGCTCCCATGAACAAAGCCAATGTTTGAGACTTAACAAATTACTTAAGGTACCACGTATAGCTATTTAAATTGGAAAATCTGAGTTTGGCTGCTTTTAATATTTGGTATCACTTGATCAAATCACCTCTTGATGGAATCTTGAATTAAGTGAGGGAGATGTTTTTATTTGCTAAACCATTTTATACATTTTACATTCTGTGAAGCTAGCTATTACACAAAGTTTGTTCCGTAATGAAATACGGATGTAATGCATTTAAATGTGTTGTCATCTTTAGGGTTTAGATGTTGATGTGGAAAACTGTGCTGTGTGCATTGAGAACTATAAACTGAAAGACACTGTCCGAATTCTGCCATGCAAGTAAGTTGCCATAATTATTCTTTCCTCTTTAGCACGTTTTCCCTAAGAAAGATGTGATGAGCTTTCTGGAAAGTCTTCTGAAACTCTGGTGGCAGAGCTGAAGCTGTGCCATTTGTATGGCCTGTTAGATGTTGGGAGACCATGTAGCACTTCATATCTATGCAGGAAAAAGGAGCAATTGGGAGAAGTGTAGGAGTGAAGTAGAATTTTCTTAGTATTAAGTTAGAAGTGTACACTGTTGAACTGGTAGCTCTGTGGTGTCCTTGTGGTTAGTAACATCTATTTCAGAAAGCTAGCATGAAAGGAGATGCCTTCAGAACTATGTCTGTCCTAGTAAATTAAGCAGTACCTAATTGTCAGGGTCATAAAGGATTAGCTTTATTTTTTTAATCTAGTAACTTGCACGTTGTTTGAATGACTAGTGTGTGGCTTTCATGATGAGTTCTAAAGGGCATTTCTTTTCTTTAGGCACATCTTCCATAGAACGTGCATTGACCCTTGGCTTTTGGACCACCGAACTTGTCCAATGTGTAAATTAGATGTTATCAAAGCTTTGGGATACTGGGTATGTTGCATGCTTACTTTATTCTTCAAGGTAGAAGTACAGTGCAGGAGGCAAGACTTCGTGTAACTGTTCACAATGAGAACAGTTGTTACTTGACGAGACTGAAGAAGCTGGGCAAAGATGCAAGAGTAATTGAGTTAGAGCCAGAAAAATAAGGGAATTTTATGGGTAAGAGCTTGAACAGTGTATCAAGCAGCTTATGAATCCTCTGCGTGCTCTTCTGTGATAACCATTTTTTTCTATCTCCAGCTGATAGTAAGGAAGTTGAAGCAGAGGTGAGGCAATTTGCCCAAGCTGCAAAAATGTGACTTAATTCAGATCTAGAGCATATACTTGATCTTGTTGAGAACTGCGATTCAAAGGAAGAAATTACAGTTTTTCTAGCTTGAGTGTTTGTGTACTTCCACATATGCCCAGTGTTTTATCCCTGTAAATGAGCCAGTACTTAGAACCTTCCTAAAGACATTCACCAGAAATTGGTTAAGTAGAGAAAATGATGTGCTCTCATTTCTTTCTGACAGCACCAGAAAAGAGAGATGAAGACACATGCGGTAGGTTACTTGGTCACTGTTGATAAATAGTCTTGAGTTCCACTAAAATGCCATAGGCACAAATGTACTTCTCTTCTACTGATCTGCAGAGATCTTCAGAAAATAGGGGTGTTCCTTGGTTTCAGGGACCTTCCTTTCATAGATTAGGTCTGCATTTTGACTAGCTTTCCTCTTATTTCGTTGCAGAGAATTAGCAGATCTATGGAAGACTTCTATGAATTACTTTTTTGTTTTGTCAAAGGTGACAATACTCTTGCTATGTAATATATATAAAAGATTGTGGCACTTCTGTGTATTAAGTCAGACTTTACCCAGGAGTTGCGATCTTTTTGTCATGTGAAATAGCTATTATTACTGTAATATTGTTATGTTAGCAGCTTGCTTTTTTGCTCACTTTCAGTTCTTGGAGTTGATGTAACTCGTGTTATATGCAGAAGGATATATCATTTTGTATACCGTCTAAAAACTGACATACTAGAACCTTCAGAATGCTTTTATTCCCTGAATTCATGCTGTTGCAGAGGATGCTGATACCAAGCCTAACGAGGAGGAGTAATACCTCCTCTGCTTGTTAGGCAAAATGAATGTTGGAAAGCAGGTTGAATGGGATTATATTAAATACAGAAGCCCAGTTCTTTTTTCTAATGGAACGGGGGAAATGCTTGCTTATGCATCAATCATTCAAGTCTCACTGAAACTACTAATGTGGGAAATCATTCAGTATTTTTTTTTCTAGCTTAGTTTTCAGCCTGATCCAGATTGTCCAATCTAGTTTGTAGAGTGATTGTGTGAATTTTTTACTGATGTGAGGGGAAAAAAGTGCAAAGAGCAAGGCAGCTTCTTTCAGCGGTGTGCTTGCTGAGTGACGTAACTGCAGGCAAGAATGTGCAGCCTTATTATAGAAATCGACTAAATCTTCTGCAAAGAGGCTGAAGGCTCAATTCAGTTTTATAGAAGACAAATACTTTAGATGCTTCAAAATTTTTAAAGGCTCAAAGTAGAAAGAAGGCACTAAGTCCTATTACCTAGCTTTTGTTTTGTAAAGAGCAGACTTCAGCAGTCTAGTTCTGCATTATGCTATTTCTTACAAGAACAGAACTGCAGTTCAACATGTCTGACTGATTTAGAGCACTGTTGAATCTTGTAGTTTTAGTGCTTATTTAACTGCCTAAGTTCTGGAAACCAAAATCATTAATGTCCCCCACCCACATACCTAGAGATTAGTATCACATGTGTCTTAACTTGTGTTCAATGGTAGCAGTTCTATACCGTATTAAAATTCAATACATTTTAAAATATGCTGCTCTGGTGCTAAAGAAAGGATCAGCCTAGAATTTCTTAAATGTTGAGATGGGCCTTTCCTGATTGTTTGAGGAGTGGGAAAAATACTCGTTATGAAGCCCACAGAATAGCTACTTGTACTGCAGTACACTTGCTTATGTATAAATAATGTCAGTATATCAATGGCAATAGCGTAATGAAGGTAGTCTGTTTAATTTTAGGAACAGAATTGTGCATGTAGGACTTCCAATTATCTTTCAGAATGGATCAGAAATAGCTCATGCTATACAATAGGTGAAATAAATTCCTTTGCCTATACTGCAGGAACAAAACATCTGCAAAGTTGCAAGCCAGCATATATGCATTTTTGGAACAGACTTAAAGTCTGGGAAGCTTGTTCCAATGTCAAATGTTTGCTCACCCCAGTAAAAAAAAAAAAGTCTAGCGTGCCCAACTCTATCATGAAAAACAGCGGCTTCCACAAACTCATAAAGATCAATAGGCTTGCTCAACGAAGACTGTGTGTATGCTAAGCCTGCTCCTAACCAGACTGCAGCAATACTGTTGCTACAGTATTGAAATATTCCATCCAGAAGGCTGGCTGGGTTGACTCCTGCTGTTGCTGCTCTTGGCTTTGGAGTGGCTTTGAAAAAGTGGCTTTTCTTTTGCTTGGCTTTATTTCTTTGCAGTCAGACAATAACATTGAAAGTAGATGCTGCTCAGCACTGTACCCGTGAGTGCATAGGTAATAGGCCAAAAAAATGTTCTTCTTTCCAATAAGGTGAGGTTACAAAGTGGTAACACGGAGGAATGTTGATGCCTAATGGTAGACAAAAGTGTCAGTTAAATACATTTAATTTTGAAGGGGGACCCTGAAGATGTACTTGAAGTTCCGATACCTGAATCAATAAGTGGCAGTGTTTCAGTCGGAAGTCTGAGTATTGTTTTACAAGATGATGACAGAAATGAAGCGAGCGAATTGTCAGCTTCCTCCACTAATGAATCTGTATTGCAGTGTACCAGTTTAAAAGAGGACGCAGGCGAAACCACAGCATTACTTGGTAAGTAATAATTTAGTTTATCACTTGACAGTCCTTAACAGCATTCATTGCATTAGAAGAAGACATTTTCTAAGTGATGTTAGTAGTGTTAGTATTGCACTGCGGACCAGACTGTGCGGTGTCACTTACTACTGATGTTCAGAAAATACAAGCAGGTAGATTTTGAGAGAATTCTATTGAGCTGGAGAAGATTGGTCGGGGGGGGGCGGAGATGTAAACAGTGTCTTAGGAGGGTTACTTACACAGAGAATCTTGAGAACCTTAGGTATATATGAAATTTGTTGCCAGAGTTTGGATTAATGTAACAGATAAAATGTATTAAAATGGTATATCAACAAACAATTTTTCTCCTAACTCCTGGCTTCTAGATGTGGATGTCCGTAATAACCGGCATGGAGAACATCTATCTAATGGAAATTCCCACTGAACTGCTTCATGGAAGATACCTTGAATAGACTGTTGAAGAACTACTATTTTTTATTTAATTAGTATGGACTTTTGTCTAGTTAACGGAAAAAATAACAATGTAAATTATTTTACCTTTCAAACTTTTCTAGCTGGTGTTCCAAAAGGGCTAATAACTAAGAATTTTGTACACAGGAGGATTTTATAAAATCTCCTCTGGATGTCTCATCCTAAAAAAAGATGCAATAACCCTTTTTCTGTAAGCATTGTTACAATGTCATTGTGTTGCAGAGGGCTGTAACAAAGATGAAGACTAGGCAGTGAAAACAATGTAGAATGTCTAATGGATAAATATTTTGAATGCACTATTTACATTCAGTATGTACACACAGAGAACACTTACAAGACTACAACTATTAAAATGTTCTGAAAGTTCTGATCTGTTGTAATTGGAGACAGATATTCTTAGAAAAGAGATAGTCTAACCTTGAAGGAATCAAATAACTTCATGGATGTGTTGCACATCCTTTTTTGTGATGAAAAAAATCACTAGTTGCAACTTTCCTTATGTGTAACAAATACTAATTTGATCTTGTAATGTGTTCTACTTGGAGTGGATGCTGAGAGACAAGGAGACTTTCTCCATCTTGCTAGCATTTATACTGAATTTGGCAGTAATAGGTTGTGCTAGGTGGTCTTCACGTGCTGAGCATGTAGACTTATTTAGGTATATGCACACGGGTTACCTCTTTCAATCTTAAACTCAGTAGAACAGAGGTAAAGGGCTAATTATGGCTAAAATATATTTATTAGTCTATTTATAAGAATTTACTTAATTCCTTCTTACTCCTGCTCCCATCCTGTCCCCCTTCGTTATGTACAAATTGAAACTGTTTCTTAGGATCTACGAAGTTTGGTTTTGTTTTTCCTTTTCCTTTGCATAGAGATGCTGGAATTCCTCTCTTGGATATTTCACATTAGGAGTTTTGACTGGGTTTGTCATTAGCTTTTATTCCTTTATTTTAGATTAGCAGTATTGTGCCTTATAGTAAAACACTTAAGAAACCTGAAGCATCTGAGAGTAAATATAAACCCTGGCGTCTCCCATTATGACCTCTTATTCAAATATTTATATACTGTAAGTGGTATAAGGAATTGCTAAACTGTTTTGTAAAGAAATATGTATATTTAAAACACTACTTATTAAGAGTGTTAAGTGAATTGCTTAGGATTTTAGCATTGTCATGTTATAAATAATATGCTACATTCCTCAATTTTCTTTTGTAAAGCTGTTACTACAGGTTGCTTAAAACAGTGTCTTTTGCGAGACATTTGTTTTAGAGTGCATTTTGTTTTTAAAATGTATATTTGGAATGTTTTTAAGAAAATATGCAATTCTTTTTCTAACTTATATTGAGCTTCAATAGAAGCAATAACTTTTTTTTTAATTTTAGAATGAATGTTCCAGAAATGACAGAGGTTTCAGCTGGGGAAATATAATCTGAACTTCTACTTTGCAGAGCAGATGTTTCACCCTAAATTTCCTTCAAAATATTCCTGTTAATGCCTACTTTTAAAAAAACAAACAAAACTGCCTCTTCCCTGTAGGAGTGTAACTTTTAGATTTACTGGAAAATTGTCAGGTTGGAGTTCTGATGTCACCAGCAGGTGGAAGTTTTTGTGATGCCTTTATCTTACAAGAAGCACACGAGAATGGAGTATGACTGACCAACCATCTCCAAAACTGAACAAATAAAAAAACAACCCACAACTAAACCAAACAATGAATAGGGACATTTATGTCTCCAAAAGAAGCTTATCAACATTTCCAGAACTGCCTTTTTAACTGTCTCTTCAATATTAAAATCTAAGTCTTCTCCCTCTTCCTTAACACAAAACTGAACATTGATGTAGTAGATGTTGAGAGGGTTTAAACTCTAGCTCAAGGAGGAACCAAATGGCGTTATCAAGAGAAGTCTTGTCAGTCTGTGGATTGTGTCTTGCTGATACCTGCAGCGCAATATTCATGCTGGAGGGGAGAAATGTGGTAAGTACTTCAGCTTTTATGTAATACCTATAAAACCAAAAGCTTTTCTTCAGAATCAAAGCTGAGATCTGGCGGAAAGCTGGAAGAAAAGCTAAAGAACCTGCAAATTGAAAAGTGTGCTTATAAAATCTGAAGTGTAAGTGATACTACTGGCTTAGAAAAATACCTGAGCATGAAGATTCCTGGAGTATGTTTCTGATGCTGGCACTGTACCGGTTTCGTTTCGACCTTTCACAAGCGTAGTTGCAGTTGTTTCAGTCGAATTGGTTTGCGCATAGTTCATCTTTGATACAGTTAGGTCTCCTAAGGCCAGCTGTGCTGCTGAGGAATGATGACAATAAAAGGCCGAATTGCAGTGCCTCCAGCAAACAGTTTGCTCTCCTTGGAAGCACGGTGACAAAAATCTTCCGAAGCGAATCATTAGTCTGACCTCAGTCAAAAAGCTGACACGCATTAGCAAAAAGCGGTAGGTTAAAAAGTACAGGACAGGAAAGAGACGATCTATGGAGCTTAAAACAGTAGCAGAAGAGGATTAGAAACGTGAAGCTTATCTCACCTACTGTTATAACTCAAATCGATTACTTTTAGAGTAAATGGGTGTAACCAGCTATAAGTAAAAACAGGTTCCCAGACTTTGCTGATCTGGACCTACTATATTGGGTCAAACATCAAACCGGTGTTTCTAGCACTTTTAACTACCAAACATTTATATGAAGGTCAGAATGAATGAGTCTTTCCCTGCTATGAATGTCTTTGCAGGATAGGTGCCTTGTGACTCCCTTCCCAACCATCTGGAGAATCTTTAATCTGTCTCTTCTGCTTAGGCTATGTCCTGCCTGATGTGGGAGCTGATGCTGTATGTGTTGTGGGTTCCTTCTGCTCCCCCCTCCTGGCCCAATCTCTTTCTGTTCCTAGCTGTGCATTTTTCATAAAACATGCAGGAACTTGTCTGAATCCCCTGTCTCTTTGTCAGATCTTGCTGAAATCAGGCAGAAGGGTTTCTTACTAGAGGCGTTCATGTGGTATGATTATAGAAAGCGAAGGCACAGTGCCCACATGAAGTGGACAGCCTCGATGGCGATGTTGAATAAATCAGTTGGGGAAACTCCCTAGCCAGAACTAGGGGATGTTGTTGTAGATTGAGTTTTGTTAGTATCATGTTCATTGGTACGGCTTCATTAGTTCTGGTGTTACTGTTAGGGAGAAAATTCGTAAAGTTCAAGTGATTTTTAAAAAGGAGCTATGAACATGTCAAAATGGACTGGTGTTTAAAGTGAGACTAGAGGCCCTCTTTGTTCAGAAATCTTAGTTTATTAATAATAGTCTACAAATGCCAAATCGGAGAATAAATTTTGTAGTAAATGACTGTTTAAACTAGCTTCAGCTTTCAGACTTGATAGCAAGCAAAAATGAACTGTAGACATTTCAGATCTAAATGCGTGTTAATAGAGTTTAATTACCTGCAGTACCGATTTAACTAGAAAATGTGGATTTTCTTTTACTAACTACCCTAGACAAATTCTTCTTTGGCTCTAAGCAATGCTTAGAGGAGATTCTTTGCATGTACTAGGGAAGTTTGATTAGATAGCAGTAACTCCTTCCCCCTGCCCCTCACACACACACACACACCCCCCCCCCCACGATTGTTATGCTTTGCACCTGTTGCCAGTAATTAGTGCTAGATTCCAGAGGTATGCCAGAGGAGTTGTAGGATAACTTAACTACAGTGAGAGTGCTTTTAATCCATGCCGACTTAATAAATTGGGCACTGGTATATTCCTGCCAAAGCTGGGCTGTTACACTTTGGGAATTCCAGTCCTGTGCCAGGGTGTAACTGGCATGGAGAAACACCATTGCAACAACTTTATCAAACATGCAAAGGTTCTTTTTTTTTTTTAATCACTTACTGATTCAGGAGTGGTCATCCTGGTTTTCTGCCTGGCCTGCTAAGCTTTCTCTAAGACTAGGCAGTAGTAGTTATGCAGAGAGGAGGCCAGCAAGTGTGTAGCAATGGCTACCCCACTTCTATGCCCAGTGGTTCAGAGGATGTCTGAGGCAGAGGCAGTATCTACACTTGCAGGTTTTGATGAGCTCGATCAGAAGTGAAAGGTGTTGGGTTTACATTATGATGGCAACAGATAGGACACAACAGGTTGGGCTGATCACTTAGCTGCCCCATAAAAGCAGACTTCTCCTGTCTAGACAAGTCTGGACATGCAACTACTGTTAGCAAATACCAACTGTACTTTGAAGTATACACCAGTAGGTTAAGAATGGCATTCTGAATTTGTGGAATATTTTTTCATTTGTTGCCATAATGTGTAATAAAGATATGTTTTTGTTACATATCAACACTGCAAATGTTCAGTAAAACTGAGAACTCTTGCTTAACAGAGCCTTTAGCACCCTGAATCGAGCCAGTAATGATGATATTGTGGTGATGGTTAGGTGGGTGTTTGGGGGTTTTGTTTGCTGCTTTTTTGTTTGTTTGGGTTTTGTTGTTGTTTTTTGTTGGGGTTTTTTTTGAGTGGAGAGGTTGCATGTATAGTTTTCATTGGTTTGATTTTCAGTGCTTGGCATTGAATGCAGTGTTTCTGTGCTGAATGAAGATACTGAGATCAATAAGAACATACTGAAATCTAGTAGAGGAGTCAGCTGGCAGTATCTTGTTGGGTTAACCTGGAGGGAATGGAATTCTTGGTGTGGGCTGCTGGGTCAATGAATTTGTGTTGGCAGCTTGACAAGAGACCGTTCTCTTCTGTATGTCTCCCTTCAGCCGCCAGGCTGGGTGAGACTTCGCACAATGGCTTGGACCAATTTAATAGCTTGCTGCTACAAGGAGAGACCGAGTGGTCCTTTCTGGTTTCCTTTTCTGCTCTATTTGCTATGCTCTGTCTCACATTCGGATTAAGAGTATGTGATAAACTAATTCAGCTTAAGTGGCAGAAAATTAAGTCTATTAAAGCTGTATTTTGACAAGCTAGGAAACTGAATATCCTTACTGTGCAATTGACTGAGTTTTGGAGCTGGGCTTAAGGGGATGAGGAGTTGGGGTGGGGGAGGGAAGAGCAAGACTGCCCCCTTGGGTAAGGTGAAGAGGTGCAGTTTTATCATAGGGCAATGGTGAATTACAATTCCTGAAATGGAAGATGGCAGCAGCATTTTTTTTTTTTAACATGAATGGCTGTAAAAATTGTAATGTCTTCTGTCCTCGAGACTGATCTTTACTAGATGTGTTCTTTTCTCTCTCAGGTGATATGTGAAGATTTGGGAATTGGAATTGTAGATTAAACATGCACAAATCAAGCTGAAGGCTTTTGTTTTTGTTCAGTATGGATCCTGATCTCTCTCCTCAGATATCCTGCTGTATTGCAAAACTCGATTTGAGAAAGTTTTAAAAGTAGAATGTCTCTATAATTGCATGTGTTTGTGTGAAGAATGCATTGCCTGGAAAACGTCCACTATACTTCCATTGAACCTGAAGATACTTTTCACCATCTGAAACATGGTAATGATACTGCATTTTTAAATGAGCATATCCTACTCAGTTCAGAAGAGCAAAATCTTCCATTGCACCTGAAGATACCATGTTTCAGATGGTGAAAAGTAATGATACTGCATTTTTAAATGAGCATATCCTACTCAGTTCAGAAGAGCAAAATAATTTGAGTTTCCATTGTCTTGTTAGTCTGAAGCTTAAGTCCAAAACTTTGAAGCCATTACTTCTACTATAAAGGTAACTGCAGAGAACCATTTGAACTTGCTAGTCTGTCAACAACTATTCACAATTGACTGTCTTTTATGGTCACCTTGTACTAACTTGGTTGCATTGTTTGGATTAAGCACTGGGCTAAGTCTTTTCCATTGTGTATGTACAACTGTAAGAATGTCGTTATGCATTGTTGTTGTAACTTAATGGCTAAAAGCTCAAATTCCATAATAAATTATACAGACCTTTTAAAAAGCAATGTCTGAGAAGCTTGAGGATTTTGTTTTCTTTGCTATGCTTATGTAAGTGGATCTGAGACACTCAAGTAGCACAGCACAAAACAAGCTTAACTTCATGCTGGGTAGCTAAGGGGGAGATCCTTTCTGCATGTAGAGTTTTCCCCATGTAACCAATACCTGGGGGGGGGTGGGTTAACCTTGACTCGCTGCTCTCACTCTCCCCCCTCAATAGGGTAGGGGAAGAAAATAAGATGGAAAAACTCATGGGTCAAGATGGAACAGTTACCATCACAGGCAAAACAGACTTGATGAAGATTAAATTTAACTTACTGCCATTTTAAAAATCGAGTAGGATAGTGAGAAACAAGGAGAAAACTAAAACCACCTTTCTTTCCCCCTGGTCTTCCTAGGCTCACCTTTACTGCTTCACTCCTGACCCTTCTACCTTTCCCTTCCCTGTGAGTGGTGGGGGGGGGGTGGGGGAGGTGGGGGGCTGGGGAAGGAAGGTTGTGGTCACTGTGTAACATTTGGTCTCTGCTGTTCCTTCCTCACACTGTTTCCCTGCTTCAGTGTGGGGTCCCTACCATGGGCTGCAGTTCTTGAAGAACTGCTCCAGTGTGGATCTTCTCTATGGGGTACCTGGAGTTACTAGCTAGCCCTGGCTTGAGGGGCTCACCTGTGCCATGGTTGGGTCTGGCACAGGGCAGCTCTGGCCTCTCCTCACAGAGGCTACCCTGCAGTCCTGTGTTTCCCCCCCCACACCTTGCCATGTAAACCCAACACACTAGGGAAAGTGGGAAACTTCCCTCCTAAAAAGCAAACAACGTGGAAGTATACAGCAAATTCAGTAACAAGTTTGAGTGTTTTCATCAATGCACAGGGCTCTGAAATTAATGGGCTGTGCCTATTTCCCAAGTATAGAAATATATTACAGAAATGCCTGTGATAAAAATCATGATGGTTTCTTAATGATTGATAATTTTTTTAGTTACAGGACAAGTCTGGGGATTTACATATGTCAGTACAACTCAAGCAAATACTGTGAAGAATAAGAACCGCTAGGCTTTTGCTGTAACACCATAGTAGCAACCTACTTTTTTTTTTTTTTGCAAGGCTTAAATTCTTTTAAAGTAATTCTGTAAATCATAAGGTAATTGCAATGCCTTGAAGCAGTAGTAATCAGTTTTCTGATGAAGCCTATTACTTTGTTGTAAGCTGTAGTACTACGTTCCAAACAAAAGCCTAACAACTATAAAAAGTGGTTTTTTGACCATGTTTTTGAAGAGGGGTACTAGTATATAGAAGATAGTCAAATTGTACTTCATCTTTAGCAGATATAAAGCATTAAGGTACAAATTTGGTGCACAAGCTAGGTTAACTCTTGCTGCTAACAATGACTTATAGCAAATGTCTTGGGGTTTAGAAGGAATGTCTAGAATTGGAAAAGACCTTAAATGCTACTTTAGTTGGCCTAATACATCTTAACTCTGGGAAGCTATACAAGTCTAACCCCTGATGACTGGAGAACACTTCTCACAGGACTTCTTACCAGAAGATTATGCTGTGTGAGGATGGGATTTTTCAATCCAAGCAATTTAGCAACTTAAATTACTTGGAAAGAGAAACCTAAAAGACAGTCTTGACCTTGCATTATTGATCTTGTACTTCATAAAAATTTGAGAAGCAGATGCAGATTTAAAACAGCTTTCGTTTTATCAAGCAGCATTAAATTAGAATTAGCTAGCTTTTCAATTTCTTTTCCTTTTCATGAAAATAACAGCAGCTATTCTACTATCTGCTTAAAATAATACTTTAGCAGACTCCTTCCCCAGTTTCCCCATCACCTGACATCTAACACCTGAATGGTACGCTGACTATATGCTTTAGAAGGAAGAGGCTATTTTAATTTTGGTAGCCACAGAGCAATTGCCTATGCAAGTTTTGAAGTGAGAAGAGGCTCATGACTTGAGATTTTTATGGATGAAATGGGATCATCTTTCCTCAGGGAAACATTCTTACAAGCGTGAAATAGGTGTGGTACTTCAACTACTGATGGTATGAGGCCAGTATTCTGGAAAAATTCAGCGATCCTGAGAAGAAAAAGTACCGCTCTGAGCCTACAGCATCCAACGCTTCATTTCTGCCATGTAAAGATAAGCCTTTAGCTTTTTCTAGACATCAAGACAGACTCTCCCTTACTCGACAAAAACAGCATGCATCATTAGAAGTTGTATCCAGCTTCTAGAAGGTCTTACACAGTGAAGAAAGGGCAAACAGGAACTGAAGTTACTTACTTTGATACAAGTTGACTTTTGGACACAAAGACAGCAAGTGCCACATTAATACTTAAATTTGCTATGAAATGGCAAGTATCATTGACATCCGCTCTGGAATTAGAGCCTGTAGTTCAGGATATGCATATGACATACAGAGCTTAACCCACAGTCAAAAATAGCATAAGTGTAAGGCCTAACGCATTTCACAAACTCAAGCATGTGTATCAGAAAAAGCAGCATTTATTGTTTAAATGCATAAAATGCTATTTATAGTGTATTACATCATTAATCCAGTGATTTAAGTTTAAAATATACAAGTAATTGGTATAGAACACTGGCAGGGTTCAATTTTTTTTTTTGCCAGTGACACAGTGGTTTTATTTTGATGTTTTTGTCTCTGATGGATTTTCCCCAGTGTCTAGTGTCTTCAGCAATCTGAAAAGGCCAGCTGCTTCTCGTATCCGACTGAACTCAATACAGAATGCTTGCACTTCTATAAACAAGTCCTGTACATTAATAATTTTGTTTCTGATTAAAGACTGAAGAAAGACACAAACGAGACGTACCAGGCGGTTCTGAAACAGAAGAGATACAGTTTCATAATCCAAATAAATGTTTGCAACCAAGTCAGTTAAAGGACTGTTGGCCCTCAGCAGCACAACCGAGGCTACCAGGAGCAATTTAGCTTCAGCAGTAGCCTTGTTCCCAAGCTTTGTACGTGCTGCCCCTACTTTTCTACCTCCCATACTGCTACTGTATTTAAAAAAATTGACTCTGCTGTATAGTACTTTACACCAGGAGCAATTTAGCTTCAGCAGTAGCCTTGTTCCCAAGCTTTGTACGTGCTGCCCCTACTTTTCTACCTCCCATACTGCTACTGTATTTAAAAAAATTGACTCCTCTGCTGTATAGTACTTTACTTCCAGATATGGGAGCTTCCTCAAGACTAATCCCATGCACCAATGAAGCACCAGATCTACATATGCACTGTACTTAGTTTCTTTATTATGCAATCTCTGAATAAAGTCAGAGAGAAGGGATCATAGCCCAAGATGATGTCATCACTAGGGTCACCCCTCTTGCTTAGTCTTATTTTCTACAATAACACCATAAAGAAAAATGAACAAGCTTCACCTCTCAAAATTCCCCAGTCACCACATGATTAAGGCACTCCAGCTGGGAAGTGATAGCAGCAGAACTGATCCCAAACTTGCTCTGTGGGAAGTGCTCTATTGCTGAATTAGCACGTGACCCTCTTGCTCTGTCTTAGAAGGAAAGACAATACCAGGGACACCTAACCCAAGAAGACACTTCCGAGCTCATGGCTATGAGCTGTGATTTTCCACCTGCTCCAGTGAAAAGATGGGATCTCGGAAGTGTTTCTCCTTCCTAAGGGCTGCTTAGGTAACACCTTGTAGAGCACGCTGGGAGTTGGGAGGTGGAGACCTAGGAACTGGCACCTACAATTTGTCATCCACCGATCCAGTCACTAACCGTCTGCTTTACACAGAGTACATTTGTCCTCAAGGACAAAAGCAGATCTTACTTTATCATTAAAGTGGTCTCACAGTTCACGTTGTGAGAAAGAGTTGAACCCAAACCTTGCTCTAAAAGCAACTATATACATGAACAATGTTTATCAGACAGAACTGAGGGGACTTGATAGATATTAAGTGTCCAAAGTATTTTAGATTATTTGACACTGAAAATAAATTGCCAACTATTTTTACAGGAACTGAGCTTACTACTGCAAAATTTGCTACCTATACCAAGAGAATTCAGAAACTGAACAAGTTATTATTTCCTTCACTGCAATCAAAAGGCATCACGTTTTCTCTACAACACAAATTAAATTACAAGAGTAATAACCGAGGAACATGAAACTCAGAATAAAAGTACAAATGCAAGATGCTGGCTGACTCCCAGTCTCTGAGGATCATGCCTCTTTCACTTCCAATAGGAGTGGTTTTGTACCATGCTTTTCAAACAAAACATCTTGTGTCTCAGTTGCTGTGAGGCCTCATACACAGTATTAACAAATGTTAGATCTCACAAGCTTCGCATGCTACTTGGTGATCAGTATATGTTCCTTGACCCTCTGTTCTTTTTTGTCCCGTGTGCCTGAAGCACAGCTGCTATATGCTCTCAGCAGGCCCTTTGAGCTCTGTGGTCATATTCTCAGCTGCAGCCCAGGTCTGCTGCTATTTTCCTATTCTGCTACCAAACGTAATAGGCACAGCTATTCTCTCAGCAGCCCCTTCGAGCACAGTGTCCCACTCTGTGGTCATACTCTCAGCTGCAGCCCAGGTCTGCTGCTATTTTCCTATTCTGCTACCAAACGTAATAGGCACAGCTATTCAGCAGGTCACAGATCAAGCCACCCGTGTGTATCTGGCAGAGTCCCAAAGCAAAGAAGCATCAGCAGCCACCAAAAGCTAACAAATGGTTAGCCATCATCTGGAAGGGTACTGAGAACAAGACAGAGGGGTTTTTGCTGCTATCTAAACCCACACAGCACCCATATCCTGCATACTGCACATAATTTTCGTCTCTGCAGCTTAAGGATACAATAGAGCTAGAGAAGGCACTAGAGAAGGACACCAAAAAAGCATAAGGGAAAGGAACAGCTGCCTTGTTGCAAGAGACTAAAGAGGTTGCAGTCCTTCAGTATTGAGAGGAAAAAGCTGAGGCAGGACTTGGTCAAGATTCACAAAGCCTCGGGTAAACTGAACATGG